TTGGGAACATGGACAATTAGACTTCAGGGTTAAACATGGCAGGGAATATAGGTGACAACTCAGACTGCAAAAATTTATTTCTTGGACATAATGTTGTGCATAAAGATACAAAGTTTAGGTCGTTGACTGGTGGAGTGGAGACGAATTCAAATCCTAAGTTGGGTTCTAGGGAGTTGGGTCGTCCCTCTATTATTGTGGACAAGGTAGGTTTGGACTTGTGCCCACCTAACAAATAGATTGGGCTCAGTAATGGAACTAAATTTAAGAAAACAAAAATGTTGAAGAATGTGTATAAGAATATATGTATCATGTTTTCCCCGTCTTACTTCTCTACTCTTCTGCATTCTAAGAATTGTGTGAGATTACTTGTGGTGGAGCGATTGTCCTCGGATAGAAGAATTACAAAGGCTGAAGAATCTTTATCTTCTTCTGCTTCCAGATATTTTGAGGTTCGGTTCTTTGTTGTGATTCTATCAATGATGATGATGTAAATAATGGCAGTAATCATATAAAAAAATATTTAGAAGTGGTCCTAGCTAAAGTTTGGAATATGATTAAGGAGTTAGGGATTGAAGGGGATGAAGATGACGAATTCTTCGAAGGTGTAATCAGAGAGTTAGAAGCGAGGGACAGAAAAATTTATGACGGAAAGAAGGCTCAACGTTATCATCCTCCTATGAAAGATCCTAGGATGAAGATGATATATGAGTAACATGTTCACACAAAGGATCAATAGTTATTCTATCTATATGGATCTCTAAAAATTTATAGGAACGTGGACTTATGATGGAACAACAGATCCCGACAATCTCATTGAGAATGTCCTCCTTGTTGGGTATCAGAGTAGCAAGATAAATATCATAAAATAAGAGATTAAGGAGTAACAAAAGTGACACAGAATATTTACATGGAAAACTCTCAACAAATGAGAGAAAAACCACGGATACCGGTAGAAAAGATTTTCACTAAGTGGAAGAAATTACAACACTTCTCTCTATATATACAAGAAGAGAACAAATTACACTTCTCTTGTAATAGGAGAACACTCACTAAAAGAACCTTATAGGAGAAAATACCATATATTATATCTCTCTAAATTTTTCTTTTATGTTATGTTGCAATGTTTTGTGTTATTGTGTTAGGAATGAGAAATGCACCTCTATTTATAGGTTCTCATCTTCACAAAACCATGGGAGTTGTTACAAAATCATGGGTGCAAAACCATGGGTGTTTCTTTCTTGATCCATAAATTGTGAATTTATTCAACCACAATCCTTGACCAAAATCTTTTACCATGACCACATAATTTGACTATGATCATAATCTTTGACAATTTACCACTTAAAGTCACATTTATGTTCTTCCAAAATCTTTTATACCTTGTCAACTTCATGCTGATTACGCTTCTAATAGGCCATATAAAGACCTACACCATGGAAACTTATCAGAGTTAATTGGCTTCGTCATTACATCTGCTAGGTTCTCTTTAGTGTGAATTTTCTGCATATCCATACTTCCTTCTTCTACTACCTCTGTAACAAAATGGTATTGAACTCCTTTGTGTTTTCTCCTGGAATGAAAAGCTGGATTTCTTGAAATGTGCAAGGTACTCCGACTGTCACAGTACAAAATAATCTTTTGTTGCTTGTGCTCGAGTTCTTCCAATAACCTTTGAATCTAAATTGCTTCCTTACATGCTTGGGTAGCGGCCATGTATTCAGCTTCTGTAGTAGACAAAGCTACAATAGTCTGCAATTTGGATAACCAGCTTACCGCTCCTCCTGCAAGTGTGGACACATAGTCAGTAGTAGATTTTCGTTTATCAAGGTCGCCTGCAAAATCTGAATCAACATAGCCTCTGATAGTGAATTCCGATCCCCTAAAACATAATGCAGCATCTGAGGTTCCGTTGATGTATCTAAGGATCCTCTTAACAACATTCCAGTGTTCATTACCTGGATCTGTCATAAACCGACTGACCGTGCCAATTGCTTGAGCAATACCTGGTCTAGTATATATCATAGCATACATAAGGCTTCCCACCGCTGATGCATATGGTACTCGAGACATTTTCATCCTTTCTTCTTCATTTCTAGGATTCACAATTGAGGATAATTTATAATTGACAGGAAGTGGGGTAGATATTGGCTTACAGTCTTACATGTTAAAGCGGCGCAAGACTTTCTGAAGATAATTTTTCTGAGAAAGGCAAATAATTTTGTCTTTTCTATCTCGGTGAATTTGCATCCCTAAAATCTTGTTTGCTGGTCCCAAGTCCTTCATATCAAACTCCCTAGCCAATTGTGCCTTCAATTCTTGGACTCGATCTTTGTTAGGGCCTACCACCAACATGTCATCCACATACAACATCAAAATGATAAAATCATCATTATCATCAAACCTTTTGTAATACGTACAATGGTCTGAACTTAATCTGTTGTATCCAAGGCTCATGATGAAGGAATCAGATTTCTTGTACCAACATCTTGGCGCCTTTTTTAAACCCTACAGAGATTTGGTCAACCTACAAACTATGTTTTCTTTTCCTTGTTCTTCAAAACCTTCGGGTTAGAGCATATATATTTCCTCTTTAAGTTCTCCATGGAGAAATGCAGTCTTTATATCAAGTTGCTCTAGATTTAGACCAAATACAACACACATCGTCAAGACCATTCTAATTGTGGTGAGTCTTACCACTGGAGAAAATATCTCATTGAAATCAATACCTTCTTTCTAAGCATATCCTTTGACTACCAGTCTTGCACGATATCGTTCCACCTGATCGTTGCCATCTCGCTACCCATTTGTTGCTGATGGCTTTCCGACCTCTAAGAAGTTCAACAAGTTCCCATGTATCATTTCTATGTAAGGCTTCAATTTCTTCTTGCATTGTTGCCATCCATAGAGAAGCATCTAAACCATTGAATGCCTCATGAAAGGTTTATGGTTCTCCATCTTCTGATAGAAGATAATATGCATCATGACTTGCCATCACATATTCTAAGTGTCAGGATGGTTTTCTTATCTGACGTGTGGTTCTTCTGGGATCTACATTATTGACCTTAGTTGGTTCTTGTTCTTCATGCTCTGGCTCTGCTTCAGAAGAATCATTTTCTCTTGACTTTTCCTTCATCTCTACTGTAGTATTCTCCTTTATAGTGTTGTCATCTTTTTGCTCTTTTTGTAGTTCATTTTCTACAGAGATTACATCTCTGCTAACAATAATCTTGTGGGCAGCGGGATCCTACAGACGATACCCCTTCACATTGTCAGTGTAACCCAAAAATATGCATTTTCTGGATTTTGGGTTCAGCTTTGTTCTTTCTTGGGAGTTGCACATCACGTACACAGGACATCCAAATATATGCAAAGAAGAATAATCACTTGGTTTTCCTTTCCACGTCTCTATTCGTGTCTTTAAATCAATCACAGTTGATGGCGATCGATTTATCACGTAACAGGTGTAACACCCCAAATTCTTGGACTATTTATTTAAATATGAATATTCGTATTTTTGGTGATTTTCGGTGGTTGGTATGAAATATTGAGAATTATGGAATTTGGGTTATTTATTTAAATAATAGTATATAATATAAATATATTTGGTGTTATTATTAGTTTAAATAAATATAAGTTAATTTAAGGGCAAAGTGAACATTTGAGGAGGAGTTAGTGAGGGTGAAATTGGAAAGCCCATTTTAAAGGCCCAAAGTTAGGTTTAACGAAAAAGAATTTTGAGGGAATTATGATTATTTCTTGTTAGACCGTGAAAAGGGAAGAAACGGAGGTCAGAGCTCTGAGGAAGAGGATTGAGACAAATGCTTCGCGAGGTTTCCAAGAATAAAGAAGAAAGGTTTAGAGTCGGCAAATTAAGGTATGAGGAGTATTGTCTTCATTGTTTTCAATATATAATTCAATGTATTTAAAGTTGATTTAAGGGTTTAGGGATTTTGAGTATTGAATTGTTGATGTCTTTCTAGTGAGTTTAATGAGTTTGAGGGATTTGAACGGATGGTCTGATAGGTTTGAGGCTGATTTGGAGATAAGGGAAATTAGGCATTTGTGGCCAAAATCTGTTGTTGAGGTTTTAACCGTGTAGGGTAAGGGATTATGAGAACTCTAATGAATGTGGGAAAATTGTAGGGATTTTATGGGAATTGGAGGCGTAAATATGATACGGGATTGGCCTATTAATTCGTAGATTTTGTGTATTTATTGTCGTAATACCTTAGGAATGATTTAGGGATGTTTTGGGCATTGGGGAAGGAAATCGTAGGGATCTTTATCTTCTTCTGCTTCCAGATATTATGGGGGTTCGGTTCTTTGTTGTGATTCTATCAATGATGATGATGTAAATAATGGCAACAATCATATAAAAAAAATATTTAGAAGTGGTCCCATCTAAAGTTTGGAATATGATTAAGGAGTTGGGGATTGAAAGGGGATGAAGATGACGAATTCTTCGAAGGTGTAATAAGAGAGTTCGAAGCGAGGGATAGAAAAATTTATGACGGAAAGAAGGCGTAGCTACTAAGGTTCCATAATTCTGGTATCTTTCAATTCAAGGGGTGTGGATCCTCAATCAAAAGAAGGAGGATCCTTTAATTTCTATAGGATAAAAAAGTCGATGTATGTTTTGTCCAAGAGTCCAAGATTCAGAATATGGATATTGGAGTGAATAAAGTCTTTGGGGAGAGAGTCCTTGTGATTGGTCTGTCAAAGATGTTGTTGGAAGATCTGAAGGCTTAATCTCAATCTGGAACAAGGAAACTTATTGTCCATATCATAGTTATAGTAATGAAGGGTACTTAGGTTTAAATTGAAATTTGAGGGCAAAGAGAACAGTGTGGAAGAACCTCATTGATTGGAAGGCTAAGGTACCTGCCGGTGAATGAGTTATTTGTGGAGACTTCAATGCAATCAAAATAGTGAATGAGCGGAAAAGGAAATGAAAGTCGCGTGCATCCGAAATAGAGGATTGTTCAACCTTCATCCAGGTCATGGAGTTAGTTGATTTGCCGGTTGTTGGTAACAGATTTACTTGGTTCAGTTCTAGTGCCAAGTGTAAGAGCATACTCGATAGATTCTTATTTTCAAAAGGTTTGATCAAAGAATGGAATCTTGATGTTCAATATGTTGGTGATCGTTATGTTTCAGATCACATGCCTATTTGGGTGAAAATCTACAATTCTAATTGGGGACCTAAACCCTTCAAAGTGTTTAGGTGTTGGTTCGATCATCTGAATTTCATGGATTTCGTAAGAAGGGAGAGGAATTCTTTTCAGGCTTCAAGGAAAGCATGCTTAAACAAAAATCAAGATCGAAGTGGGTGAAAGAGGGGGTATTAATTCAAGCTTCTTCCATTCTATGATGAGAAATAGAAGCGGTTAAAGAATCAAAGCAGGATTTTTAAAACGTTGTGTCACAACTGCTTATATGAATTTTTTCGATCTTCCAAAACTTATAGTAGATGAATCTGAGTTGTTGTAAAGGTCGTTTCATGTGGGAGAGATCTTGGAGGTTATTAGAGATGGAGATAGAGATAAGATCCAGATCTTGATGGTTCGACCTTGAGTTTCTTAATCGTTGTTGGGATGTTGTGGGGGAAGACGTGAAGAAATGTATTCAAGAGTTTCATTCTACGGCTTGCCTTCCAAAAGCTTTTAGCTCGTCTTTCATTGCTTGGGTGCCTAAAAAAGAGAACCTGCAATGTATGGATGAGATCCAACCTATCATCTTAGTGGGTTGTATTTACAAAGTTGTGAGGGAAAAGCCTCATATACTAGATATACGGGTTTCAATAATGTCAAAACTTAGTCGCATCGAAGAAGAGATGTTTGGCGTTATCACCTTAATACATAAGCATATCCTATTTCTCATGTTTCATTTGCTTGCGCAAAATATCTCTAGTACTGCACTGAGCGTTGTTAAAATATGTGTCATACGAGTTAAAACTCATTGGTCATCATAGGTATCATCCAAGATGTTGCACCCTAAAATTTTCTCAACCTATTTCTCTTGGTTTATGTTTCAAATGCATTAGCATTTGCATATAGAGTCATGTACATAGTCTAATCATTTGCATAGCATAGCATAGCAAGTCACCCAACAGGGGACCAAGCACTATTCTCATCTCTATGAGCCTATCAAGAGGTTATTATTCTAATTCAATCTCATTCAAGTCATCAGAAAGAATTGGAAAGCTAAAGAAGTCTGTGGATCAAGCAGTGAATCTATCTCCTATCTGAGGGCATCTGAAGATCATCAAAGAAGTTGTGAGCTGGAAATTGAGCATGGAGAGTATGTAGAAATCATGGGAGGCTTAGAAAGTCATTTGGAGAAGGAAGCAAGTCATTGATATGATCACAAGAGTTGCAGGTGAAGAGCAGTCAACTAGGGTTTCATCTGGGTCAACCCTGGGTCAACTCTAAGTCAATTGACTGATTGAAAGGCATTAAGGTCTATTGGAGAGATGTGGGGTTCATCATTTGACATGTAGAGAAAGAAATGGTGATATGCCAAGAAGAAATCAAGAGAAATCAAGGAGAAGAGGAGTTTCTAAATTAGGGTTTCTGTGTAAAATCCCCTAGTTTAGGGCAAACTTCCAAGCAAGATAATTCAAAATGCAAGCTCCAAATGGATCCTTGGACAACATGAAACTTGTATAGGATCTCAATACCTTTAATTTGAGTGGTGGAAGACATCAAGGAGATTTATAGAACTCAAGTTATGGTCCTTGCAAGTTACAGGTCATCTGAGGTATCTGAAATTTTGGCTGTGAAAGTTACTTGTCTTCGAAGCAACTTTTACCCCTCAAGGAGATTTCAAATTAATTTCTGGTCAACATAAGAGTTGTTCCTTATTGTCTTAGCTTTCTAGAATTGTATGGTATGCCTTCATATAATTTGTGGAACTCTACTTATGGTCTTGGCAAGCAAAGGGTATTTTGGTCATCTGAGAATTACAGGTCATTTCAAGCCTATGCCCAAAACTCCTACAAGGAAGCTTCAAATGGAAAACTTCACAACATCAAACTTGCTCCAAATGACATTTTGAGTCTAGAAAAGTGACCATGAAAGATTGGAAAGGCTCATATCTCAAGGTTTCAAAATTGGTGAATTTAATGAATGAAAAATGACCTAAATTTGAGATTTTTCATAATTTGGCCAAATGGGATGAAATTATAGGTCATTTTGATTGGAAAAAATGTTTTAAGAACATTGGCAAAAGTAGAATTTTGAGTTTGGTTCAAGTTTTGAAAGTTATGCATGGTTACTTACAAAGAAAGTTACATAATCCAAATCCAAGGGAAAATGTGCATGGGAAGTTTCTCCAAGGTTCTAGGACTTTCTATTGACATCTATATATTGCATTGAAGAGCTTCATGCCATGGTTGGTGGTTCATTTTGTGCATGATACCAAGTTTCACACCATTCTTCCAATTTGCAAAACCCTCTCAAACTCCATCAAATCTCTCTCAATTTCCATTTTTCTTGATCTTATCATCATCAACATCTTTCATAGATCACAATTCACACAAGAATTTGGTTGAATTGGAGAGAACTCGTGCCATACAACTTCATCATCCAAGTTGCAAGAAAGTTTCAAGTATAAGATTCAAGGAGTTTGCACAAGATCCATTGCATACAGAACTCATAATCAAGGTCACTGATCAATTTCCAATCACTGCAAGCATCAGATCCAAGGATTTCCATAGCTGTTTTCACCATTTTGCACCAGGTTAGTTTCCTCTTCGAATTGCATGATTTAGTTAGAATCATAGAGAATTGTTAGTATAGAACTGTTAGGATAGGTTAGAGGATTGATTTTGGTGAGTTTGAAGAAGTTTCATGAAGGTTGATCATAGTGCACCAAATCTGTTAGGATTGATAACTCATAGTTTAGGGCAAGATAATCCTAGATGGATAGCTCAGGTTGATTAGCATGGCTTGTAGATCATTTTAGGGTAAAGATTAGCAAGGTTTGGCAGGATTGATCACAGGTGAAAATGGTGGAGTCAGCATGTTCAACCTATCGAGTTTGTTTCTTGAGTGAGTTTTAGAAGAAGATAATGGCATGGCTGTGTAGAGGGAAGAAAATAGAGCAACTTTGCTCTTTGAATCGTGTGGTTTCATGAAGAGACAAGGGAGAACAGAGGAGTATAAAATTCGTGCATGGTGAGGGTTTTCTGAATCTAGGGTTTGCTGGAGGTAGACGATGAACCATGGCCACACGATTGCATGTTTGACTTGGACTTGAGACTAGATCCAATGGCCTTGATTTAAATGAAATACGGAGGGAAGTTTGAAGACGCTACGCACCGTTTCATTAATAATTCTGACTGGGATTTGTGAGTCTTTGCTAATGCCACCCTCCCAACTCAGGCCCAATGAGATTATAACTAGAGATCTTACTTTCTGCACCGTTTAATGTTTTTCTTTTTTTCATTTTTTTCTGAGTGTGTGCTGGGCCCAGACGCGCTTGCTATGCGCGCCCCCAGTCTGGGCCCATTTGATTCTTTTAACTGAGTTTAATTAATTTCTGCACCCCTAGTCCAATTGATTCCACATTAATTCTTTTCAAATTTCTTTTAATTCTTTAAAAAATCATAAATAATTGAAAAATGCATGATTTTAATTGGTTCTTTTTGCATGTTGTTCAAAATTTTGTCAAGAAAATTATCACATAAAAAAATTAATATTTAATTTTGTTTTTATATTTTTGGCATATTTTTCTTTTAAATAGGATTAAATAACATTTAGTTTAATACATGAATTTGTTAATTTTGGTTTGATTAGATGCTTTAACATTTTTAATCCATTATTTTTAGGTTGATTAGCTTAGACCTTTATCTTGTATATACAATTTAGTTCATATTTTTAGGACTTAATCTTAGGTGATTTGTTTAGGTGTGATTAGGAGAACTAAAACTAGGGTTTAGGAGATAACATAGGAGGATTAAATCATTTCCCTTAGGAGTTGTAGATTGAATCTTTAGGGTATGGGACTATAGGGATTAGGGGTAGTTAATAGATCCCTTTAGAAATTACTAGGTTTCCCCTATTCAGCTATTACTATCAGTACTGCTTATATTTGTTTGACTGTGTGGTGTGCCCTCTCCAGGGTTATTTCATTTGTCTGTGTGGGGTATTGGGTTTGCTTGGGGATTGGGAGAGCTGAAGACCGGTGATGATGAAGTCCATTGGAGATCAGAGAATGAAGACCAACTTCCAGAGTTGATGAAGAGATTCTGTGCTGGCAGCTGTTGAGGCTATAGGGTTTAGGAGCTAGGCAGAGCTCTAGAGTAGAGAACTTGATTCACAAACATGGAAGGCCTTGTCTGCCTCCATTCTTTCTCTATGATTCAAAGTCTCTTTCAAATATCCACCTCCTTCATTTGGAAGGATCAGTGAATGTATTTGAAAGATAGAACTTTTGAGAGAAACCTATATGTATAATGTTAACAGTCAATGAGCCACCCTTGGTAGGCAGTTGACTGTTTAACATTCATTCAGTTCATCTTGTTGACTGATATTCATCTTGAAGATTGAGCCTTGGAGAAAAGCCATTGCAGATTGGAGACTGATGACAAAGACCTTGCTTGAAGGCTGTGGAGATGGAGATTGATGCTTGCTGAAGCTTGTAGCTGATTGATGATGACTTGAAGGCAGATGTTGATGCAGAGCTGCTGTGGCTGTTTTTTTTAGCTGTTTAATTCCTGATGTATTGATTGGTTTTCCCTGACTGTATTGTTTGTTGTTTACCCTGTCGGGTTGAAAGTGAATTCTGTTCACTTTTGCCCCTTGTTTTCTAGGTTCGAGGTTGAGTGGGACTCCCTTGCCTCGCTTGTATTGCTGCATCCATGCATTTTACTGCTTTAGTGTATATATGCTTCTGTTTCTGTTTCCGTCTATTCCCTTAGGATCTCTGTTTCTCTCTGCGCAAGAGAGTAACATGATAGACATTAGGTCTTAACCCATGCATGATAACATTAGGTTAGTTTGATTCCCTTCGCAACCGTAGGTTAGAATTCTGTCTCTTCTTCCTCAAAACAAACAGAAAAACACAATAAATATTTCAAACACAATAAAAGACACTTCTTCCGCAAAAGAATGTGAACTCATCAAAACGTCATTTTTGTCCGCTTGGACCGGTAATCAGAAAAACCTTTTCAGAGGGATAAAAACAATCAAGACAAACCTGTGTCGTACGTGGCCCGAACTACGTTTGCTCTGATCTTTCATGCTGTATGAAAGTACGTAGGCATAGGATGTGATATCCTAGCGAGCAACCTTCCCCTCCTTTCCCGTAGGTAGGCGAACTACGTTGACTC